TTTATCTGTCAAGTCTGTAGTTGTGTTTCCTGATATCCCGGATTGCATGAAAGTGCGGTTGAAAGTTCGGAGAAATGCGGTTGTAGTCCACAATAGGGTCAAGAGAGTCACATTATGCTCAGGTTACTTTAAGTGTGTGCTTCCTGAGCCAAGTGTTGAGGCATCTGCCAGTTTGTCCAATACACTTTTCTCTGCAGCTTAAGGTAATTGGGTTCACCACTTGCTTTTTGCATGAGACAAACGCGCTGCCATGTTGGATGGAACAATCTTTGGGAGTACTGTTATTGTAGACTCTTTTGCAAAGTTGTTTCAGGCCCATCTTGCACGAGAATACAACTGAAGTATTCAAACATTTTGTGACGGCCTTCGAGACTACACGTGAGTCATTCTTTCTGGAAGGACGAGCGCTTCCGAACTCTAATATTAGACAAAATGGATGGAAGTTAGAAGATCGTCCGGATATCCAACCCTGAGGAGTCTGGAGCAAGGAATAAGTGGTGTACTCCATTCCCCTTAACCTGCGGAGATATATACATCGGACAGATTGGCAGATGCCTCAACACTCGTCTCAGAGAGCACTTTTTCAAAGTAAAATGTGTATCCAATGACATTCTTGTGCCTACTGTGAACCATAACCGCATTTGTGAGCCAAACTTCTATGCCAACCCGAGTTATCAAGACACACAAGAACAGACTTGGGAGATAAGTATATGAATCCTACCGGATGGCCGGTGATTATTTGAACTTTGCCTCGCCTTCTCTTCGGTTAAGCAAGACTGACATAAATTTCTGAGGAAGGAGTAAAGTGATCCCCTCCTTCTCCTCTTAGTTTCCTATTTCTTCTATTTCTAGAAATACATGAAAGCATAAAACATAGGCTCGGGGACAGAAACAGAGCTTATTTTACTTAGCAACAACATAAAATTACACAAAATATAAAAAAACACCTCCAGAAGGTTTCGAAGTTCTCCAAGGGGAAAAGTCGACAATTGGTTAAGTAACTTGTTACAGAAAGAAAAACAGAAAGGACGGACAAGGACGGACAAGGACTGTCCGTCCTTGTCCGTCCTTTCTGTTTTTCTTTCTGTAACAAGTCATCAAAACCAACGCGCTCACGTTTAACTATATCTTACTTTTGAGAGCCATGTGTTCGTCACGTCCAGAAGTGCCAGGCGTCGGGCCCTCGGACTTTGATCCTGTCACCTTCCTTCAAGCTTCATTATTCGTGTCAAAAATGTTCCTCCTTCGCCTACGCCTGAGGACTCTCGGTCTCTGCCTTCGCAAGAACATCACCCACCCTGCGATACATCAGGTATTTGGCTTCTCCTCGTCGCGTTGGGCGGCGAACTACAGAGTGATGCAGATTGCAAGACAGGAGGTGTCGCAGGAGATCCTGGTGATGCAGAGGTCCCTCCCATGTCTCATGACGGCTATTTTCGGTACTAACTTCGCCACTCATCCCTCCTATGTCTTCCTCAGCAAGTCTGCCCACCTCCTCCTGGAGTCTTCTTGGAAGCTTATCATCTCCTCCGCAACCGCAGAAAAGCGAGTTAATCAGAGCCCTGCGCTGGAACCTCCTCTCAACCTCTCCGACACCACCCTTTCGGCACATGCTGAGTCAGTTCTCTCAAGAGGCCCGAAGTTTGCCCCCGCGTATGAACCGTCGCGAATCGACCAGCTGGCTGCTGTTCACCAAGTCGCCTCAAAAATTCCTGAACCTGAACGACAGGATTTCCTCGCGACGGGTTCGCGGGTGGTGTGCAGATACGGGAGGGCTCCACCTTCAAAACTGGACTTTTTGGAGGTGGTTGACGAGCTCAGGCGCTCAGAGCTGAAACTCCTGGAGGCTGACAAGACGGGTGTGTTCGTTGTTATGACCGCCGGGGACTTCAACAACAGACTGGGTGCAGTTCTCGACAAAAAACTTCACGAAAATGAAGTCCAGACCATCGGGGTCTCTCCGCACAGAGGCTAAAACTCTCTGCAAAGCTAACGAGCTCACCTTTCTTCTCAACAAACTGTCAAAACCATCGGATCAGTACCTGCGGGTTTTCTTCACGGCAAAAACACACAAACAGAACACCCCTTTCAGAGGCATTGTATCCGAGAGCGGCTGCTGGCAGAGGCACCTGGCTCTCTTCCTTCAGAAACATTTGACAGCTGTCCCTCTAGATCAGCCTTTCCGGGTCGGATGTTCCCTCGAGGTTCTGCCATATCTCCGGGAACTGCACTCAGCTGGGCCGGACGTCGCCATGTTTTCCCTCGATGTCACCGACATGTTTTACAGCCTCGACGTGGTGGTTCTGATGGATTGCATTGAACGGGCTGTCACGCAATCCGGAGTGGCCAAGTTCCAAAACTCAACTGGCATCACACTCGAGGCGTTCCTACAGCTCGTCGACGTATACCTAAGATCCACCCTTGTGGAACACCAAGGGAACATCTACAGGCAGAAGTCAGGCGTTTGCATCGGTTCCTGCTTGGCCCCTGTTCTAAGCGAATTCTACATGTCATCGGTGGACTTGGCTGTGGAGAGGGAGCTCGGCGTCGAGGCGCCGGGAACCAAGGTATTTCGGTTCGTTGACGACTACCTCGTACTCCACACAGCCGGCACCACTTCCGCCTCCATCGAGCAGGTTTTCTCAACCCACTCTCAAGGCCTCAAGTTCACCAGTGAGGACCCTTCGGACGGGGAATTGCAGTTCCTCGATCTGCGCCTGCACACCAATCCCAATGGACTCTGCTGGGGTTTCCAGCAGCGGACCAAGAAGCACGTTCTACCGTTCGGAAGCAACCACTCAAAAACTGTGAAGTCCGGAATTGTAAGATCCCTCCTTTCCTCATCCCGTACCAAATCTTGCTCCCACTTTTCTCAAACCAGCTTAACCGCCCAAATCTGTCGCCTCCGAAAGGCGGGCTATCCACGCGACCTCCTTGTGACATCCCTAAAGTCTCTAATCTCCCAGCCTCACCCCGACCGCGCCAGACCGCCTCGACCAAAAAAGTTCGCGGTGATACCTTACCACCACAGCACATCACATCGCCTGAGGGCAGCGGCCCGCCGGTATGATGTCGATGTGGCCTTATCATGCCGGTTCCGATTAGGCTCCATGTGCCGCCTCGTGAACGACCCCCAGCGCCGTTCACGAGCAGGGTGTGCAAAGAAACACAAAACACCCTTCATTTCCTGCGCAACTGGACGCGTGTACTCCATTCCCCTGTCGTGCGGCGCCGAGTATATCGGTCAAACGGGCCGCTGCGTGAATGACAGGCTGGGCGAGCACGACAGAGAAATAAAAAAAGGGGACTTTGAGTCCCAGCATCCCTTTCTCCGCCATAGCGGCGCATGTTCTTCGTGTGAGCCCCGGTTTCACAACGCGCGGATCCTGGGCTCACATAGAGACCGCTACGGACGCGAGATAATTGAAGCGTACGCCATGCAGCAGGCATCTCAAAACATTTCGTCTCCCTCGCTTGTCCTTTCCGAGAGGGAGGCGGCTTATTTGCGCCCCCAACTTGCGGCCTTGACGCGGGCCCGGGGGGGCCCTTGCTCCCTGACAGTGCGGTGATGCGGCGCCGCTCTGTGTCTCGAGATGACCCCTCTTCTCCTTCCCCTCCTCCTAATCTTAACGGGCTAACAACTTCCCGACTTTCTCATGCCGACCCCCCTTCTTGTCCCACTGGGCTAACAATTCCTCGCTCCTCCGCTGCCCCGATTCTCTCTCCCCCTCTCCCTCCCTTGTTTCGCTTTCTCTTTCCTTCCCCCCTTTTACTCCTTTCCCTCTTCCCTCTCCCTCCCTTCTGTCACTTGTCCTTTCCTTCCCCCCCTTTTTCTCTAGGTTCACCGATCTCGATGCCAACTTCTAATAAAGACCGCTACATGTTGTTGAAAGTCGAAAGATGTCCGTCCTTGTCCGTCCTTTCTGTTTTTCTTTCTGTAACAAGTCATCAAAACCAACGCGCTCACGTTTAACTATATGGTTAAGTAAAGGTGTCAATAATCTCGTCATCTGTGGTTTTAGGAATTCAACTTGTGTCTGAGAGTCATAATAAAGGTGCAGAAATGTTCTTGATGACATCCCTCTCGCTGAATGAAAGAAGCTCTGTATTTCGTCCCCGTCCTCTATGTCTTTATCCTTTTATGTTAACGCATCTAATTCACCGACAAGCTCGTTTTCAATTACTATTTTTAAATATTTCTTCCGTTTTTCCTTTTAATTTTCTTTCGTTAAATGAGCAGTTCCCTTACATTCTTCTCTTTTTCCCCTTAAGATACTCTTTTTTATCCCGGTTTTCTTCTTTTTTCAGGGGGTTCTTTTCTTTTCTGAGGGGTTTTGGGGAGCAGGGAAGGAAGGGCTTACGTATTGAGGGTGGCATCATTAAATGTCGGTTGCTAGTTAAAAGAACTCTACTGTATGTTTTTTTTTCGTTTGTACATATTTTAGTCTTGAGTGTTTTTCAAATGATTTCTACTGACCCGCTCTAAGTTAATTTTTTTAATTTGATGTTTCTTTGTGATTTTTCTTCATAATTTACCCCTCTGCTGGCTCATTAATAACATTTATTCAACTATTATCTTTAATTAGCGATATTTCAGTTCAATATTTTATTAATGTTATAATTTTTATATATATATAAACTCGTGAAATATTGCGTGTACTATGCTTGCATGTGATAGTAATGATTGTCTTCAACTAAAACTACATGATTTTTATACTTTTATTCATAGAAGCCTGTCGCATGCAATGTCGACTATGAGACGCAGCGGTGCAGATAAATCGTTCGATAGGGGAGCTTCTACGCACCGTTTTAATTACGGTAACCTAAAGTTGGGTTCTGCCCCACTCGATTTTACATAAAGAACACGTAGATAAAACATTAATATAAAAGTGAAACATCATAGCGAATAATTGCCTTTATGCATCATTCAGAAAATGCTGTGTTTAGGAATGCCTTACCACTGAACGTAACTCTAAGATAACATTTGAAAAAATACTTACAGGTATCCCATTTCGTGAGCAGCAGTGGAAACCATGAAGTACGTATGAGCGTGATCTTCCACTATACCGAAACACGATTCTTCTGTGCAGAGTCCGTTAAGGTATGCAAGACCTGAGCAATAAAAAAACACACACACTTAGGTTTGATTAATTTTTTTTAATAGTCTCTGATACAAAACCTATTTCAGCAATCATCTTCATGACAAGTAAGAATAAATAGAGGGTGGTTTTTAAGCTTTACAGATTTGTTTACAAAAAGCCTTGAAAGCTACACTTACGCTGTATGCGCGGGTTAGTTATACAGCCATTGGGACAGAGTATTGTGGGCTAATCGTAAGAATCAGTCTGCTAATTAAGTATAGTTTGTACATTAACTTTATGAGGGGTGAAAATAGATATATGGTTCCAATTAAAAACTTGCTAAGCATCATCAGAAATTACTAAATCGAACATGATGATTGAACCTGAGATTGTGTTTTGAAAAAAAAAACGGAAACTTGTGAAGGAGGAAGAAAGAGGGACATACAAAGTCTCACGTCTCGTCTCTTGAGACGTTGTCCTCCCTCCTTCACGAGTTTCCGTTTTTCAAACTACTGCCTCAGGTTTCAATAATCATGTATAACCTACACCAGCTCGCCTGCACTTTAACAGTTTTTTTTCGCGAAATCACCCCTTTTAGAACGAAATAACACAGGGGCAGCATTTTAATGGTGTCCTAAAAAAACTCTTCATGTGGACGAGTTTCTAGGTTTCGGTTTCTTATCGGATCCCATCTTTGCGCCCGCGGCCCTGCTCACCGGTGATCGCGGCGCGAAACCTCCCCCTCGCCTCCCTCGTAGGATGGAGGGAAGGAAGGCACACCGATGCTGCGCGTCTCAGCCACTGGGGACGCTACGCGCTGCTGCCTGATTGAAACGGCGATAGACGTTGGCCTGGCAGTCGTGATTCAAAAACCTTCGCTCATCGCCCTGTACAGCGGCCGAGTGGCCGAGCTCGCAAAGGCAAAGCGTCAAGCCCCCCCCCCCCCTCCATACGGGGCACCCCACTCGCATTTCTTGTGCGGCGCCCACGTAGTTCTACGGCAATTTATGCAGCATAGTACACCTGTATTCCCCGGCATGTTTTTCTTTTCTTTTCATATCATGTTGTAATGCTTTTCGAGATATCTTATGTAACGGATATTGAAGTTTACAAATACCTGACTACGATACCCACTAACTTAGCCGCTGTTGTAAGAAGGGCGGAGGTGTATTATTGGAAATATTGCATACCTTATCCACCATTTCACCTCCGGAGCTTACCAAAAAAATCTGACGATTTCTTAATTTGAACCGTCACATTTAAATCTCTGTACTAACCAAATTGCCATGCCACACTCCATTCAAAGTGGTTCCACAACTTGATGTTTTATTACAAATATTGATACTCAGGAACTGCTCTCAAGAGTTATTGCCGATGACAACAGTGATTACCTGCGGATATTCCTGATAACAAATCAGAATACTCTTTCAAAACTCCGTTAGTGGATGTACAACATTTTTTCAAAGGCATGAATGCAGTTTACTAAAATGTATTTTAATACCTAAGATAATATTTCTTTTAAAATTATGTTACATACTTGTTTGAAGGAAGTATACACTAAAACAAAACTAGACGATGCCTATGATAAGTTCTTGGCTTCGTTCCAAACAGTCTATATAAATCATTTTGGTCACTAATAAGTGCGCCATAGAAGGTGTGGATGAGAAATTGAGGAATTGGAATGCTTCTCTAAAAAAGATGTGTCTCTTAAACGTTTTAAACGAGCAATCTAGACGATCTGAGTGCTTCTGAAGTGATTAGAAATAAAGACATATAATTTCTTTTAAACATGCAAAAATGAAGTGTCCTTATAACCTATTTAAGACGGAAATAGGGATACAAAATGACATTATGTGGCGAAGGGCAAATACCGTGCTTGGTCGTGGCTCTTAAGCGGCTCGACACTACCAGGAGTGCGAACTGCTAACTACTTCAATCATTGACCGTTTTCCCGTCTAATAGAACAAACGATCCACGTGATGTCGGCTACTTAATACACATATTGCGCGAGCGCATTTTGAAAGCCAACTAATGCCTGGGAAATTTATTGCACATTTCTTTAATTCCTCGATTGTTGCTGTTGTGATGCTTATTACCTAAAAATTCATGTGGTCAAACATGTCTTAGGATCTAATTTAACCTGTTTCTCAACACCTGCATAACCTTGCTTTTATGCATGACATATTTCCATCCCGTATGCAGCTAGCAAATGCAAGCGTCTTATTTAAAGGTCGTGAAAAGAAAGAACTATCAAATTATGAGCCGCTCTCAATTTTTCAAGTTTTTTTAAAGTGAATAAAAATAATTCATAAATTTATGATACAATTTTGTAACACGAATAACATAATACAGAATTTTATGTTTTGATTCAGAAGGGGTCGATAAGCAAATTGATCACTGTACACAAAAACTATTGATTTTAAATTCAATCCAACAGAAAATATAACCCTGGAAATATGCATACACATATCGAAAGCTTTTAAAAATAAACCGCGCAACTAAATTAAAAAAAATTAAAGTCTCATCTTGATTTATTTGAATTCGAGTAGCTACCTTGAGTTCTGCCGCAAGAAAGTTGTTATCTATAATCGAATTTCAGACATCAAGTCCATTCCATATGGGATTTATCAGGGTAGCATGATTTGACCTTTGTTTTTTAATATCTACAGAAATGCCAAAATAAACTTTGACAATAATACACAATGTAATTTATGCTAACACAAGTTTATTTTTACGTCTCCAGATGCTGAGGAATTACTGTACAGTGCAAATAACGGGTTGAGTAAGCTAAACACGTAGACAACACCAGTAAAATCAACACCAGTAAAACCAAGGCTGTACTTGTCAGGACTAAAATTCTAAACAAAATAATAAGGAATGCCAGATGCTTTCTGTACATATATATATATATATATATATATATATATATATATATATATATATATGTACATATATATATATATATATATATATATATATATATATATATATATATATATATATATATATATATATTATTACCCCTAGTGAAAAGCTTAAAGTTATTTTCTAAAATAATTTAATTTTGAGAAACATTATTATCGTGGCTAACAAAATGGCCGACGTTGTTGAAATGCTCTTTCAAGGTTACGTTTTTTTGTGGTTTTTTTTCTACCCACTAACATAAGGTTGGAAACTTAAATCTTGCCTTTTCTTTTGCACCTTAACTGAGGTCGTTTGGTCTGGAGGAACACTATTACATGTAGTATTAAAAAGCTGTTTCTACTACAAAAAAGCTGTGCCAGCTATTTTCAAATATAAATACGATGCCTAAATAAAACCAAACTTCAGAAAGCTTGGAATCAATTTTCTTATCCTCATATACAAGGACATTAACAAAGCAATATTGCATGAAAAAATATAAAATATATTGAACAATTAATAAACTTAACAAGAAACTTCAAGACATATATCACTCGTGAGAATTAAATATTGTTCATTTCTCACGCTCCCACTAACTATAGAAACGAATCTCTTTATTTCACATTTCATGTCTCACTTAGTGCTCGAAATTATTGGATTAAATCCTTGCTCTTTCTTCAGTTATCATCCAAATTCGCTTACGTTATTTGTTTCCTAAATGTATTTGCTCTGAATTTGACATTTTTTGTCTCATGTTTGCTGTGTAGATATCATAAGTGTTTTCCCAAATATAACTGTTTCATTAACTATTTTTGTCAAATTCTGGAGCGTGTAATCTGTGTGGGGGTTGGGGGAAGGTGGTGATGGTGCAAACCAAATCAAATAGTATTTTGGTGGCTTTTTGCCTATATCCTCCATATTTTTACATTAATATCAAATACATCTAAATTAAAATTTGATATAGACTGACTTATACTTTCTGTCAAATTCAATGAAGATGCAATAGCACTTGATGGGTTAGCTGGGATGGGACCTGCTCATGTTGATGGGAGGTGTCAGCGGTGTCACGTGACTTCAGGCGTAAAACTCACGTTAAAGCAGGTCACATGACGTCCGTTTTCTCACTAATTAACACGGAAACTAAATTGTCCTCTAGTTGAAGTGATATCAATTATATTTCTTTTGTAATTTGGCAGCAGAGGCATAAACGTAGATAAACGTAGAGGCATAAACGTAAAAAGCAACTCATGTTTTAAAACCCGTTATAGCCCCTAGAGTGGCCTGATGCGGCAATCACAGCCCCTGTGGTTTTCACGTGTTAGTTTTGCGCGAAGCTTCTTAATTGCGTGGCTGATGCCGCGCGGTGTATTTCAGGAAGGTGAATACTCACGCACATCTTTGCTAACTGAGAACTCATTACACACAAACATGTCTAACTTTATTTGTTAGTCTATGCAATAAAAATGTGCTTCATTGTTTTGTGGTGTTGAACTCAGAGAGGCAATAACTGATTTCACTAACCTTTTACATGCTCGGATACATGGGCACCACTTTTTTTGGCGAGCTCCAACCTGTTGGAAATTAAATTGATTTAAGGGTGCTCTTTACAAAATTAATTATCTAAACTTTCCTGCTATAAAAAGGCAATAATCATTAAAGAATACGCTTGAAATAAATAAGAATGTACAACTTACTGCCTGCACCACACTTTGACAGCGGCTGTATGACGCGATTTCAACCAATGGCTTGATTATGGTATATTAAGCTAGGTTAGCAAAACATTTTATTCTTGGTTCACAGGAACGGCACGCTCTCTAAAATTCACGACAGGAAACGTTTATGATATTGTATTGGTTCTTTTCAACCTATTAAAATATTATCGAATACACAAAAAAATGAAACCTAAATTCTTGCTAAATGAGCCACATTTCGAGTTGGGTGGAGCCGACTAGGAGCAGATTAGGTAGGTTAGATATGTTCGGTAAATAAATAATTTACAAAATTCTAGCGTTTAGACATCAGAAATGTAATAAGTAGTGTTCTGTTTTTTGTTTTTGTTTTTTTGTAGAATGCAGATAAATTTAAAACCTAAAATTAACCACCGAAACGGTTTCGACAAGATAATACAAAAGAAATTGAGATGTCATTGAATAAGAGCCCAAGCTTTGTGGTATGGAAACATTTATCTACAGCTTTATTTTGTGTGAACCTGGAACATGGCTCCACTGAACTCCCCCCGGGCCAGTCGTTTGTTTGGGAACCACGACACTTTTCTGGTTTCCTCTCTTCTCGGTGCCGAAACGTTTTCGAAGTATTCGAGTCACGCGCAGATTTCGTAGAGATCAAGGAATCTCATTTGTTGACCTATTTTTCTTAACATAAACCCTATAAGCGGCCATTGTTTTGTGCCACTTCAAATATTGACACTGAAAAACACCAAATATGCAAAAAAATATCCCCGCTCCTGAAAAAAAAAACAACAACTAGGTTTCAAGGCAATTGAATTCCCAAAACACGAAACCCTATAATAGGAAAACGTTGCAAATGTGGGCCGGTGGAGCTCTGAGAAGGTTTATTCACGCGATCAGATGCAGCACAGGACGAGGCTGAAACATAAATCTGCAGAATTAGTAAGATTCCTTCCATGAGCCACTCCTGTCGAGACAAGCCGTTGGATGCAAGGTTGGAGCGGGTCGTTGCGGTTTCACACGAGCCCAGTATTTACAGTGTTTGGAAGCTGCACTTTCGTGTGTAAATGTTGAAATTTCTCGGAGTGTTAGACGAATAGTTAGTTTCAGTGCGGAATTACGAAAATATTCCGCCCTTTATCTTTTCTTGTGTCGCTTTGGGCTAGTACAATTAAGATTCCGCAACAGCCGTAAAACAAAAAAAACAAAAAATCAAAACCAGTGAAACATCATACTACCATGTTTCCTCGGGAGGAGGTCAGTTCAAACCTTGCTCTTAGTGCGACAAATGCAATAGATGTTCAAGGCAGGCTCTTCAGGCTGTTATTGTTAACAGAAAACTCTCGCTCACTACCGAGTCTTAGGTTAAATCCGTCGATGGTAAACTTTTATAAATCACCCTATTATATACAGCACAACCACTTGGCACACAAACAGTTAAAAGCACAAAGGAGTGTTTTGCTTACCCTACAAATATTTTGGCCCTACACTAATGCGATTGGCGCTCTTTTGAGCTACGTTATATTTAGTTCTCTTTTACACACCACACGCAACTCCGGACAATATGAGGTGCGATATTGGATACGCTCTTAGTTTGGGGTGCGATTTCCACAAACTTAGTTTTTTTCTTGATTAGGGTGAAGCGTGGATACTTAACTAAAGTTTGCCATCAATTTTCTATCTGGACAAGACCTTTGTACGAAACCTGAGAGTACAATAGAGATTCAATACCTGATGTTCAGGCTGACATTTCTATCAATAGAACTTCGCTCACGACCAAGTTTTTGATTACATTTGTCGTTGACAAACGTTTAGAAACCATCCTAATGTATAGACGCATGACAGCAATTATAAGCACAAAGCAGTGCTTCGTTTACTTCAAAAATATTGCAAAATTTAAAATCGCCAGTTTGTAGGTTCATGACGGAGTGGTGCTTCTCTATTCTATTTCCCTTTTCAAATTATACAACTTCTCTTTACCAAAGTGTCCCAACCACCTAGTAGCAGCTACTTTAAAATGTATTATTCATGTATAGTTAACCAGAAGCAAGTACAATAAATTATTAAGGACGAAAACACTTATAATGCATTCAGGCTGGCTGTGTGCTCTATCATTACGACCAACTCTATCTATTCCGCCAGCAAGAAAAAAACTAAAAAAAATCTATATCATCGCTACTTATTTGTCGTTGACCTAATCCCGTATGAGCGCTGAAATATTTCCTTGTAAATTTGTGTTTCCAAATTTAGCTTTAACTTTAAAGCAGAAGAGCATTAGTGGTCCAATCTAAACTGATACAAAACTTGAAAGTATGAAACAGAGAGGACGAGGACGGGAACAGGACATCTTTCTTTGAGCAACAACATAGAATGGCACAACGATAAAACCGCCCCCCCCAAGGGTCTCAACGTTCTCAAAGAGGGAAAGGAGATACTAGTTATAATGGAAAGGGAATACACTAAAAGAAAAGTTTGAAAAGCGCATCAGTAATCTAGTTTTTTTCGATTACTTATAATTTAACTATTGTCATTGTCAGTGATAATGCAGAATTATTCTTGTTAGCAGTCCAAAAACGGAATTGTACTATAAATATAAGAACAGCAGAGGTTAGAAAAAGCAGACTGTCCTGCTAACCTACTTCGCTCGACCCTTAAGAGGTTCATTATCAAACCACAACTTCCGGAAGTTGTTTCAAAAAAGAAAGGTCGTTTCACTGTGATTCCCTACATGCACAATTCCGCGCACCGTTTAAGGTCTATCGGTTTTTTCTTGTTGTATGCGCCTCAAACAGATGTGCAAAACGGTTAATGGGAGCGACAGACCCCCGAGGGTGCAATGTTAAACATGCCAAAAAGTTTGTGGAATGCGAAGAAAGGAAGGTTTATTCGATTCCACTAAGCTGTGGCAGTCAGTACATTGGACAGACTAGGAGATGCGTCAACCACCGACTCAGAGAACTTAACTTGGAAGCAAAAAAGGCTTCAACTGAGTCGTATCACCCCATTGTCGTTCACAGTCGCACATGCGATGACTGTACTCCTCATTTTTCTGATACTAAAATACTGGGCGGGCACAACAACAGATTTGGGAGAGAAATCATCGAATCATTTGCCATAGGGACTGTTAACAACATTTCTGCACCTTCATTATCATTTGACAAAGACAGAGGTCGAATTCTTAACACCAGGGATGACTAGAATATTGACACCTCGTCGTGACGCTACAGCTTTTTAAACTCTTATATTTATAGTAAAATTCCCTTTTTGGACTGCAAACAAGAATAATTCTGCATTATCACTGACAATGACAAAGGTTGAATTCTAAGTAATCGAAAATAACTAGATTACTGATGCGCTTTTCAAACTTTTCTTTTAGTGTATTCCCTTTCCTTTATAACTAGTATCTCCTTTCCCTCTTTGAGAACGTTGAGACCCTTGGGGGGCGGTTTTATCGTTGTGCCATTCTATGTTGTTGCTAAATGAAAGATGTCCTGTTCCCGTTCTCGTCCTCTCTGTTTTATACTTTCAAGTTTTGTATCTATTAACCAACGCGCTCGTTTTCAATTGTAACTAAACTAATAAAATGTGATAATCTACCGACCTGTTTCTTCCTGCGAGTATTGAAAATGGCAGATTTTATTAACGTGTTCAATATTTTAAACCTTCGCTGCATAGTTTTTTTTGTTGTAGCATTATTTCTAAAGAACTTTTCGTGTTAATTTAATACATGTCTAACCGTTTACGTTTTTTGTTACTGTTTGAACTTCTGTGATGCTTTAAAGACTGGATAAAGGCTGTTGGTTGCAAACTGAGTATTAAAAGCCAAGCTTGCGCCGGACCTACTCAGAACAAAAATTAAAATAAGCCAAATCCTATGCTAATTATTAAAACAATACCGATTACTTATTTTATTCCGCACTAATTTAAACACACGTACAAATGCTAGACATAATTTGTTTCCAGCATTCACCCAATTTTTTAGCTTATATAGTTGACTTACTACAAACCAAGTGCAATCATAATTTAGAGCTGCAAATCCGCATGTTCTATTAGAATCCAAAATATTTCTGATATAATTTGTGTAATAAAAATTAAAAAAGTAAGCACATTGTAGTTCCTATATGATATGTCTTCGTATGTTTCTTGAACACATTCATATATTCTGCTAGTGTTCTTACCCTGTGACGAGCAACGCAACGTCGCACGTGGCGTCCCTGTATTTCTTAGCAAACTGGGGTAATGTTCTTTCATGAAGTGTAGAACTTGATTTGATTGTTACGGTCGTCTGGATTTGAAACTAAAATATGTCGCAGATAATCTGATTCCTAAAAATAATAAAAGATGCAATTAGATTTGATGAAAATAATCCCTGGAGAAGGGGAACAAGAGGGACAAAGGACAAACACGTTTTCATCATTATTGTCCAGCTCGCTTGCACCTTTGCATTTAATTGCATTATAACAATTAGATTTAACTCTTAGTGCTTTACAATTTAAAAGAATTGGTATAAAATGAAACATACCAGGTCCTTTGTAATATTTACGATGAGGAGTTGTACTTTTGGGTTATTGGCGTTCGAATATCTGACGTTCACCTTAACCAAGAAGACTTGTTTAATTTAGCTCTCACTTATTTTTGTTGCAAATGACACAAATACAGCGTTAACTTAATATAAAAGGCATTGCGGTTTATATACGTCTTTATTGTGCTCGCTCTTCTAACTTTATACAAAAAACAACATAGCGACTTCACACTACTTAATGCTTCTTTGCTTTTTCACGTCTGTAAGTCATAGTGTCGCGTGCCTAGCGCAATTGGCAAGCTTGCGTCTGCCGCGCGGCAGGTTGGGCTTCGAACCCCACTCAACATTGTCTTCATTATATTACCCCTTGCTTTGTAGGAATGTCCTAGTATATTCCTTGCCGTCATGAAGATCTTGTCCAAGAACTTCATGAAGGTTACCGCCTGCATAAAAGCAGCGGTAACGCGCTCCTTCCAGACAATGGCACTTCCATCGCCGTCGCGTGACGTGCGGTGTCTTTTTAACGTAGAACTACGTTTTTGTCCGCGCTTTTTTAGGGGGTGAAAAGTTGGGAGATTGATGCCATGAAAACTTGGTCACAGAAGTGACGTCAAACAGATAACACCGGAGCGCCGACCGCATTGCATCATCGCGCTCCCTCACAGCGCACCGGCTGCTGCCGAAAACCGCACACTGCGCACGCACGTCCTTTCTTATCTGCTGGCTTGCTCGCTTCAACCCGAAGCGCTCCTGTCAGATTTACGCGCTGATAGACGCCGCTACTGCAGCCGTGATTTCACACTCTTCGCTCATCGCTCTGGACAGCGGCCGAGCGGCCGAGCGCGCGTGCTCCGCAGTACGGACAGTTCACTCGGCACTCTTGAGCGACTCGGCGAAGCGTTGAAAAACAATCGCACGCAATTCTGCATATGAGCCTCGGAGATGGTGATGCGGGGGCCTAACATTTGTCTATTTCGGACTCCGAGCAACGGCACTCGCTTGAGCCCCCGGCATCATCGTGCTAAAGAAGCCCGTGGACGTTTCTTCAGCTGCGGCCACAGTTCTACGGAAATTTATGCAGCATAGTAAACCTACACCCGGACCAACTTTTTGTTTAGTTCAAGGCGCAAATGCTCAACATTAAACACCTATTTTACCATTGAATTATTATGCTATTTTCACGTTTAAGAACTTAAGGTTTGGTGGTCGAAAATATAGGTCCGTATGGATTGTTTAAGAAGTGCTAAACAGTAGAATGTCCGAGTAAGAAAGTTTGTGCTCGCTAGATTGCCCCACCTATATGTATTAGTTATATTATAAGCTAATATATATATAAAGAGTGCATTTTGAAATGGATCTATGTATTCATAGGAAACGCATTAAAATATCTATTTATTATTGTTTTCTTGTCCATTCTAACAAGTACTTGTTATGAAACAAGTATGAAATAAATCTAGAAAGTTTGGAAATTGATTGATTGGATTTTTGTGCCACAAAAGCGTCTATGGGTTTAATGCGCCAGGTACATAAACTATTGCTGAAAATAATTAGGGAGAAAGAAGAGCTAGCGTAGCAGGCTAGAGGAAACAACTCTGAAAATTAGGTGTGCATAGGTGTGTGAAAGGTATTAAAACGGGTTGAGGGATTTAAAATAAAATCACAGTCGGTATAGAAGACCCAGTTTTTTTAGGAAAATCGGAACACATGAGTGTAGAATAAGAGGTCCGTCGCCAAGTAAAAATCATGAGGCGTAGTGGCCTATGTTTGTTGTATAGGTGCGAAATATGGCCTCTTAATTCAACGCTTGAAGGGAAAAGCTCCGTTCGAAACGTAGGGATTCTGAACTTCTTATCTTACGCTAGCTCATCTCGGTATTTTCCCGAGTGCTGTTCTCACGTGTCCGAAATGTCCTGGCGAAATTTAGTATTTTTTCTTGAACACACCAATGAATATAAAAAGTGTATATATTGGTGCATCTCTCCGTCTTTTAAATTTGTCAAACGTTGGATTTTTTACTATTTTGTAACAATTCTGTAATTATACCACTTCATTTCAAATGGTTTCCTCAACAAACGTTACTAATCATCGTTGTTAGCCAGGTTAAAGGCAGCGTATGCTTGAGAAGCACCGCCAGTGACAGACAGCTTTTCATGGGGCCCTAAACATGTGCACCTTGGCCTATTGTTGTAAGGCTGCATAAAAATTTTAAAGTTTTATATCGTTTTGTCGTACATTTAGTCGACTGCCGGACTTCGTCATGCAAGGTTTTGGAGCCCAACTAATTTTACCGGTATCGCACAACTAACATCATCGTTGTTTACAGCTGTGATCAGAAGGATCTATTGGTTAAAATGATCTGTCCTAAATGTGTCTGTTAATCTTGAAATATCTTTCATGACTGACCACTGCACTCGCATACTTCAGTTTATTCACTGTGGTTCGCTTGGTGAGTCACTAAGGAATCGATAGAGTTGTTTGCTCTTTTCAGTTTAACTTTTACTACCTTCGGCAGGTTCGTAACTCAAAGTATTCGCATTCATTATCGTTAGATAACTACTGAGTCGTCGGAATACTTTGCTTTTCTTCTATAGCGATCAATTGTTCATATCACTCCTGCAGAGTTGAGGGACTGGGGCGGTTTGTTTAGGGCTACACTTTCGCGTTTTAGGCACCCATAAATGTTTCGAGTGCAACTTCGAAGCCTATAGTTTACAGGAGATATGCATGAAATATGCCTCACGATATGGGTAATAAATTGCAATACTTAAGTTTTAACTCCACCATATTTCGCTTATTTTTATGAAACAATTTTTTCCCGTCCTGAGTGCATCTTTGTTTTTGTGTCACTCATTTTGATTTTATACGTTAATAAAAGCACCTGAATTTAGTAGTCTCCAATTTTAAATAAGACAATCATTTTAATACTCTTTTGTAATGTAAGAAATGAATTCATAAAATAAAATTATAAAGCATTATTTCGCTAACGATTATTCTTACTTCGTTCATATTTAAAGCATGTCGTTGCACGTAATGTTTCTTTCACTATTTACTACGTGGTTGCACTGAATATACGGCCAGCCGATGGCTGGCTGTACAAAGGTAATACATAAAACAACAACGTGCCAGGCACTATTTATAGTCAAGTTTATTTCTAACCCAATTATAATGAATAAAGTTTTAAACGTTCTCATACACCTACGGCTGTTATGTGGGCAATGAGGATACCACAACATTGTTGTATTGGCTCGTCATTGCCTTTTATGGTGTCAAAAACAATTCATATCAAGACTGCCATAGTGATGCAAAGAGCTCAGTCTATAGACCCTTTCCGCAAGGGCGCCGCGATCTTGAATTATCGCCACTTCTAGTATGGGCGAAAACATTGTTTTGCCGTTGCCACGCCGATAAAGGCATTTAGGACATAAACGTAACCGTCACACATTCACGTTTTGCCTCCCCTTTATTATTTTACAATTTGCAGGTTGAAACGTTTTGATGTTTTTTCGTCGCCCATACCCGATATGCCTACTTGGCGGTGGGGGGCAAGAGTAAGCGAAAAAGGTCTATTAGAATTAAAGTGATCGATACAAATTGGCGCTTCAAAATACACTACCTGAGTAAAATGTAAAAAGGAACACACTAATGTTGTCGTCGCCCAAATAGTGTCGAGCGGTGTTTAATCTGCGGCAATGTAAGCTGACCCAATTTAGTGTTTGCCGAATAATGCAAAATCCTCTCGGGGGTGGCTCTGGCATACTAAGCTATGAAACGGACGTCAACATTACGACAATACAACGAATAGTAGTTCATTCGAATGTTTTTTAGCACCTTAACATAATAGGGGCACCCCACATGGCCTTTTTCCTTCCCGGACTGAAATACGCCCGTCAAGCTGATATTGCAGCGCTCTGTTCATTGCGCTGAATCGTACGATTCACACTCAGGTAAAAAACTCGAATAAGAGCGCATATTGGAAAATAAATCAAAACGCAGAGTACATACCGTTGCCATAGAAATGGCGATATATGTTACAAGCTGTGTATCGTTATCAAAGTTTTCGTAAAAGTACTTGTCGACGACAATCAGTGTTTCAATCAAAAATGGGTCTGGAACTTGTACTTGTCCCGGAGTGCCTGTAAAAGTAAACTTTGAAATGAGTGATACCAAATGTTGTGTACATGCCTGTCACTCATAGCACAAACTGCAGATAGAGAAATTGGGACAGACAAGTCAGTTTGAAGTAGTCTGTTCATCTGTGAAAATTCAAAACACGGCGTATTTTTCTTTTATACTACGCTTTTCGCTGCTTCAATTTCTGGAAGAGTAAGATATGGTTGGTTACATCACTGAATGTAGAAAAATGAATGTAAAAACAAAGTGCTTAGAAACTTGGTAGCAGTTTTAGGTGCTTATCTTAATATTTCTATCGAGGATATGGCTTGTATAATCAGTTATCTAGTAAATATATCCACTGGTTTCGCTGTACTCGTTTGCGAATGCGTACAAGTATACATTTTTTAGACATCATCGTGTCAAGGGTTCGAATATACAGGACATTCAATATATCTATCAAGTATGTTCGTCGAAGCATATGCATATATTTTATTTTTATGCAATATTCTTCTTTAAATGACCCTCCTTTCGACAGAAGCTGCATAACGCTATTGACTTTGAAGCAACATACATTTGTATACAACTTTCATTCCGAAGTTGGAAGCATTGTAAATTGTGTTCGCGAAATTAAAAAAAATCAAGTCTTCGTTTAATATCTTAAATGGGACAGCGGCATGCGGATACGTGGAGATATAGCAATCATAAAAATTGCTTTGCATTGTTTAGCTTTTTTAGATAATGATACTGTCTAATTTAGCGTACCCCAAGCACATTTGGACTCATTAAGTGTGTAACATTTTAAGTCCTAGACAATCACTTAACTACATCATAAAATTAACTTACTTAAATGATATCCATTAGATCGCCCTTCCAGTTGATTGTGAGTTGTTTCTGCAACATGAGTAACAAATTATTCTGTTAATATAAACTCTAGATGGTTACAACAAATTACTATGGCTGGGCACTTGATAGATTAATATACCGATGATTCTAGTATTATTGTAATCGCAAATATTCTTTCTAACTGGTTAATCGGTTAAATGATGAGAAAAATCACAAGTATAAATTCAACGCTTCCACTACGCAGATGTGGTCGAGTGCACCTATTGGAAAGCAAATTTCACGTGAAGTTTTGTTCTAATGTAAACTGTAGGGGTGAGATTTGTAATTCTAGTCAAGTGGAGAAGGCTGATGTGACTTAGACACTTTAACGCCGCGCGAGTGTCTCTTTACCACAGCAGAGGCTATTGTGAACAACCAAAGAAGTTCGATATTACCGCAGTGTATCAAGGAACAACCTCTTTGAATCTGCGGCTGAATTAATCATTTGTGAGTATGGCTGCCGTTTGACTGCTTGTGACTACACGTCAAGGTTGATTTAAAAATCCAAATTGTACATTGCGCCGTTCAACACATATTCTGCAAAAGCTAAGCAAACTGTAATTCTATTTTTCCTTTTGTCATTATGCACGGCAATAAAGGAAACACTTTATTCACTAATTAAGCAAATGAAGGGTGGCGATTAATCTGGTCGAATCTTTAAACGACGTCCGGTCCTATAAATGACTAAATGTTCGATTAGGTATTCGGAGCTTTGTGCTTTCCGTGTCGTTTTTTTCTAGTTCATGGGTTACCATACCAGTATAGAATAAGCTTGCAGGCACATTGGCTTTAGCTTCAATATGTGATAGAGAATTACTGCTCAGGTCTTTTTTATTATTCATTTTTTTATATTTTTGATGACATTTATGCGGATGGAAATGATATAAAATATTGGGCATGTTTTATTTAGTATCACAGTCGCATCGTTTTTATATTATTTATTGAGACTGGAGAAACGCAAATGCATTTATGTTATCAAGAATTGCTTCCCTGTGAAAATTGAGCATTCACAGACAGCTTTGGGAAACGCTCGGTCTAGTAACTTTTTTTGTCAACCCAGGCTTAGTGAGTTAATAAAGCGGGGGGAGGGTACACTGTGAAAGTGTATAGACAAAGGGCTGGTTGGAATTTGTTCTGCACATTAATCTTAAATATTTGGACTGTTGGGTTTTTCGGTTAATTTTGTATACCCTTAAGGCTGAGCCGCACGTAAGAGATTTAACGAGCGACGGCGACAGCGTCAAAAGCTAGCGACGAGTCTCGGAAATTTCTCACTGTCGCTCGTCGCGGGGCTTCGTTTTTGAACTTCTAAAAACGTAGTTTATTTCCTTGGTCGCTTGCTCCCGTCGCTTTTATGCGGTTTGCCTTTTCAGGCGACTGACCAAGCGACAGCGAAGCGGATCGCTGTCGCTTTTCTTGTCGCTCGCCAAATCGCTTACATGAGGTTTATACTTTATAAGCTTTTCGGGTGTGAAGTGACGCCCAACAATAAGAATGCCAAATACATAACGGAAGAGGTTCTTTCTCCTGAAATGGTCATAATCTTTCTATTCTATATTCAGCATACCTGCACAATTTCATATTGTTGTTGAGAACGGTTCGTGCAGTTCACGATGTCGATGTCTGAAAAGCTATTTGTTATTCCTGGTGTGCCTCAATATTATGTTCTTGGGCAGCTACTGCTCATCTTATATATCAGTAACATAGGTCAAAGATTTCTTGCGGATATCAAAATTAGGAAATTTTTTCCAATGGTAGTGAAGGTGGTATGTTCGAAAGCACCAGAGAGGAATTAGACGTCCGGAACATTGCTTCGATAAACGGCCTCTTTTTTTATTCTATTGCCTGGCTCGAAGGACATGCTATAGCTTGAGCTGGCGATAGCTCGGCGCTGCGCAGCTCGAATGGCTTTTGTTTAGGCACAGTGAGCCCAGTGTATTTTACAGCCTTTGCTACTCTGACACCAAAGTGGATAGGAGGGCTATTTGGTTCATAGTCTTTAAATAGTAATAGCGTCGAAAACACAAACAACAATGAAGACGAAGTGCTCGAACACAAGCGCCTTTTTTTTGTTCACTTCGTCTTTGTCCTTGTATGTGTTCTAGGTGCTATTACCTTTTAAAGACAGTGACACGTTTGGCTCTACTACAACGAAAATATATCTTCAGAGATATAGACGTCAAATTCTCAGAAGAAAATAAATGGTCGTTTACAGAAGTCAACAAGGTGGTGCTACGAATGGCAAATAAAAATCAACAAATGTACTAGTGTATATATTAATATAACGCAAGAAAATAACCAGCGCAGATAAACTATATTACTGGAGGATGGCCTATAAAACATGGAATGGAGGATAAATACCTAGGCGATTTTTTTAATCATATCGGAACAGGAATTTACAATTAGAAAATATTTCCAATACATCGCTAAGACAAAGTTTGGACACGTTGACGGCAGGTAACTTTTCCACTCCAGAGCATAAATCAATCGCATATAAGTAAGTGATATTACCAAACATTGAATATAGAAGCCCAGTGTGAGAACTATTCACGCAATAAAATTTACGAAGTAGACCGCACACAAAGTAAAGCTGTCTGATTTAACTTCAATCGCTATCGATCCACAGACTTTGTCTCCGTAATAAAGTTCAATGCGAACCTTCTTCACATAAGTGCCAGTATATAGTTAAGTAAAATTTAAAAAAAAAACTATAATTTCTACAAGGTGATTACTTTATGGACATTCAGCAATATATTACATACACAAACTTCAACAACCCCAACTAAAACAAATATAAGCATATTTTCGTGCCATATTGTTTTAATACTGACTCGGCTAAAATATTGGTTTTATATGTCGATCAATGGAACTGCCTAACCACGAATGCTGAAGGCTGTAAATAGTCAAAATATGTGCGCTTTTCTATAACTGTTTTTACGCTTAGCTGTGCTTGTTCTTTCAAATATGCCTACTCACCTGCTTTGGTCTCGCAACTTGCAGTATGGTAATATATAAACTAAATAAGTATGATTGGTATATTCAACGTTGGCTTCTTGAGCTATTCACAGACTAGTCATTCCTGTACTAGAATAAATTAAATGTTGAATATGTTCGTAAAAGATGACCTCACATATATATGCGCGGGTCCCCTAACTGTACTTTCGTGCAGTCATCCTCCCTCCAAAAAGAGCGGGACGATCATTCTCCAACGAACTTCCTCAAAGTAGATAAGACTGAATTCAGTTAAGCACTTAAAAACCTAAATCTTTGTACTTAATTTCAAAGGGGTGATTTTTGTTTTCGACTGGTGAAAATAATCGAATGCCATATTTTCAATAAACATGCTACACTATTAAGAAAAGCAATTGTTTATGTAAGTGAAGCACTGACATCTCATGAGAAAAATAGAGACTCTTTCCTTTAGGCGTTGCGGTGACATGCGAGACGCATCAGAAGAAAAATAAATTGATTTCATATCACACAATATACCTCTGGATAAAAAAAAGTATAATAATAATATTAAAATAATATGCTCATTTATGTGTGCTACAACCACCAAGATGGTCTTCACTTTGGCACCTTCGTCAACAGGCAATATAAACATAATAAATTGTAAAATAAGAATAAACTTTGGCCGAGCAACAAATCAAACAAATTAAGAGGCAGATAAGTGCTTATTGAATTGGCTACAGGACAATACAACAAAATGTCCAGAGGAGCTTAACCGGCGGTTTCATCCATCGACTGAACCCGAGAAAATCGTGAAGTTTTGCAGAGCGAGTGAACATAAAAACTAACAAAAGATCTGGTTACACGTAAAGGAACATAAATATTACCTTCCCCCAGAGGCTGCGCACAATATATTTTCCCATTTATAAGTTTATACGGCAATACAAAGTCACGAACAGTTCTTCTGGTAGACAAAAGTGGAAGTGGAAAGGTGCTACTATATATTCATAGTTTTAATTAAAGCGGCGCTCAGAGAATCTATCTGATACGATTTAAATAACATTTTTATGGAGATTTTTTTATATTCATAGCCTGCGCTTTAGATATCATCACGATGCTAAAATGCGTGACTCCGCATATTTCATAAAACTTTTCATCACACCACTTTACGTGATAAACTGTTAACTCCACCTTCTTATAGATCGTCACGGGTGGATCACCTTCATAAAGTAGGGGTAATTTCATGCAATACTAATCCCGTATACTTGTTTCTTGTTAGTGAGCGCGTTGGTACTGATGTAAGTTTAGAAAGAGTTATATGCGTGTAGCGACCAAGATTGAGCAAGCCAGCAGACCGCGCAAAAGCGCGCACATCTGGTAACGAGCCGAGAAGGAGCAAGGCTCGAGACACGAGCAACCCGACATTATCGCAGGTACGAAAGTACGTCGGTCGAGCTGCAGCAACCAGCCATGGATCTTCATTCCCTCAGACTGGCCCGTATTTAACTTTCAATGTAAATATGTAAATAATAATGTATATTTCATTTGTAACGACTACATACGTATATCTTTTATACGTAAATCTTTCATCCCACGCACCTCTAATGACGGGACCCGCCTTCCCTCTGTAATAGCCACTATTAATAATTTCGATCTGTTTCAACTTGCTTTGCAGGATATACCTGAAGGATTTCATGTAATTGTACTAGAATAAATCAGAGATATTTTACAGATATTGTTGTATATATGTCTGTGTGTAGGATAGCAAACTGTATATATTGAAGTGTCGGAGTCATTTGTATCCATTGTTGTTTTATTTCCTTGTGTATTGCTTCCCCAATTTTCATCCCATCCTTAGTTTTTGTTATTTGCTCTAGCACTCTCCTCTATAATGCTTATTCCTTGATTATATGTATTAATAAGTAAATAAAAAAAGACGCTGCCCAAACTTAGGGACATTTCACAAATATGTACCAAAACAGGAATTTTAAGTTTGTAGCATTCTTTGATAATAAAACTCGGCATACTACTCAAAAGCTTTGGTTTCATTTTCCAGAATC